TTAAATATACATGCAGTTATATCATTTAGAGCACTTTCTTTTCCTCTCTTTTGTACAATGACTATTACACATTTTGGGTTTTATTGCTTCCACGGTTCTTACTACTTTTTTGGAAGAGAGTAAAACCAAATGTGACAGAACAGAGTCGGTCAAATCAAAAGGGTTGACATAATAGATAATGTAAAAACATAATACAAGGTGATCAACAATGGTTACCATAATGCCTCCCGCTATTTCTAATAGAATTGCCTATATCATCAGTTATAATAAAATTGAACAAAACAGTAAAGAACAAAACCGACAAAACCAAAACATTGGAGACATTGTAGGTCTTCAAAAGTAGATAAAAAGTTGTATAGCAGGCAGGAAACTCAGTGATACCATATATGGTACCAGTTCCCTTGACTACTGTATTTGTCTGTCCTTTATGGAATCTAAAATGGGGGCCTGTGGTCTTTGCTTAAACGTTTCTATTTACAGAAGCAATGTGATAAGCCTCCAAATCAGTCTAGTTGTTATTTTACTGAAAATTCATGTTAAAATTACTACCTGCAATGTTTCTCAGACAAACATGATTGCGCATGTGTGTTTTGAGACCATCAGTTCCTTACCATTTTTAGTTAAAAGGCAAACTTTCAGCCTGCTGCAGGTCTTATTACATACCTCAGAAACCATACTTAGAAAAGTAAATAAACAGCCCTGAAGCTCTGAGATTTTCCTTAATGGCATCGTTGCCATGGTAACAGCTGAACTGTTATGTAAAGAAAATTGCTTATTGATGGAAGAAGGCTGAGGGGCACAGCGAGTGTCTCTTTCTGGTCTCATTGCCTTCAGCTCCTACTCTCCTCTTAAAATTAATGGATTTTTTGGGGTATTGTTTTGTTTTGAACAAGCTTTGATGATGTGATATTAAAATAAATGCATTTTATTAACAGTGTACCAGGTGAAATTGAGTATGTTCAAGTATGGTGTGATCAACATAGAATTGTATTTCACATGTTGTTGTTTATCAGAATTTCTCTACTTGGAGATGAATTTTTTTTATATTCTACTTACTGTTAAAGCAGTGACTAGAAATGTAATTGGCCTCATAGTATGGAGTATTCTGAGTAATATATTTAATAACAATATAAATGAAACATAAACATTTATGGTAGTTGTGCCGTTGAAGGGTATTTATAATGGCATACTCAAAACAAAATGTAATTTAAAAGAGATAAAAGGGAAATGGTATGTGAGAAGTGATAATGATGACTTGCATGGTTGTGAAAAATGTCTCCTAAGCATTTATCGAGAATGGCTCTTCAGAGTCTGTGTGTAAATTTAATATATATGATTGCCTCCTCACTGTCTCTATAAGGAAATATTTTAAAGACAAAACTGTAATTCATTTGATATTTGAGGCAGGAAATGAATATTTATGTGTCTCATTATCATTACTGCTACAAAAAGGCATAGAACTAAATTTAGCAAAAAAGAAGTCATATATGTCGTTGCATACACTGACTTTTTGAGTCACTTAAGGATATTGCATGTGTGTTTCCTGGTGGTGTCTGGCTTAGAACTGCGACAGGCACTTGGTGGAGCGCCCATTCAGGATCAAAGGCTGTATCCACTGAGGGCCTGCAAACAGAACTGCACACTCCTTGCCTGAACACTGTGGTGCAGAAATGTTTGGTACTGTTTTTGTTAAGCAACACAAAATATTTGTGACTACCGATTATTTTATATTGTTACAGAGTATTTCCAAAATTCATTTTTATTAAATTTTCTAGTAATTTTATTTTTAATTAGTGATGCTATGATACTGATCCTTACTTTTAAGAATGAACTCTCAAAAAAAAAAAAAAAAAAAAAAGAATGAACTCTCTTGGAAATTCATTGTTCTTTTTACTCATGGTTGAAATATGATCAATTTTCTCACTTGATTTTCTTGTTTTACTTAACCTCTGCCTTACCTCCAATGATACCCTCTTCTGCCTCTTAATAAACAAACTGAAATTTGCATGTGTAAATAAGTATATGTTCTATTGTTACATTGTCTTTTTATTTATAATTTTTTTATTGACATTACAACTTATTCTACTTGCTGAATCCCATTAGCGTTTCAATTTTGGTTCTGGGCTCCAGAAAGAGACACAGATAGAAGAGCAGCAGCTCAGAATTTCCAGGGCTCCATGCGACCTGCAGTCCTCAAATTCCTCCTATTCCAAACTAAATCCGCCAGACGCTGTGCCCTCCCAGTGTGTCCTGGGTTTCTCTAATGAAATAAGGCTTGATCATATATACTTCCCAAATGACATATGTACTGAGTAGAGATAGATGGAATAGATAAATGAATGAATTAGATTGTCCTTATTTGACATGATAGAAACATTTGTTTTCAAATTAATTCTGATTAAAACTGGTCACAAGGTAAAGCCAAAAGAATTACTCTTGGCTTCATTTTATTCACAATGAAAATCATTCATTCATTCAAGGAACTGGGTATAATAACATCATGGGTAAAGTAATGGCAAAATAGCAATGACAAAAAATAGGTTTCTAAAAATACTGGGTTTTATTAATGGATGCAGATTTAAGCACAGCACTAATTTGAGCTAGCCAATGAGGACTTTAGGCTAACATCCTCTGTCTCTTAGTAAATTATGCTGTTGGCTTGTGTTCATGTTGCAGACCTGCTGTTGCTTTTTAAGTGTACCAAGAATTATTTTAAATCCAGAAAATAAAGAATTTTATATGACACAGTAAATTAAATATGTTATACTGTTAATCCTCGGACCTATTTTTTTTTTCTTTTTGAGACAGAATCTCACTTTGCAGTTCATGCTGGCTTTGAGCTCACTTTGTAGTCTAGGCTGGTCTTGAACTTGCAGTGATCTTCCTGACTCAGCCTCCCAAGTACTGGAATTATAGGCGTGCACCATGCAGCCCAGTTTACCTAAATTTTACTGGAGTTAATATAATAACTACACATGTTTCAAATTACCACTGTGATTCATCTCTCAACACATTCTTCTTTTGACAAAAATCCACAGACAACTGTGATATCATACATCTTAGGTGGAAGAGATAGTAACACAGAATAATTTGTCCCAAAACTCAGGTAAAATAAGCATACTTCTCTGGTGGACAAAAGTGTTAAGTGCATGAAACCCTGTACTCCTGGATGTCAGAAACCCCTGCCTCACGTTTCTTCAGACATGCCCTGACGAGAACGCAGAGTACATATACCTGCAGGTGCTTTCAGGGAGCCCAGGTGCCAGCACAGCACTGTGACGCAGCCATTTGTGGCTGTGTTTGTTTTTAAAAATGTCAGCCTCTGGATGAAAATATCTTAAGATGTGGCTCCACCCAGTAATGGTTTTTAAAACCACAGGGCAGATTAAGATCGATTTTCCTTAGATATTATGGAGGTGCCTTGTTCAGGGACTGCTCAGCAAGAGAGCTCTTTCAGTTGGTGAAGGATCAAATAATTTCTTCCATGGCTTGTGTAGAAAATCACTCTACGCACAAGGAAGCTACAGTCCACACAGAAATTAGGAAGGTAATTGCTACTGGATGATCGTATATGCACACAAATAGAAAACGGACCCACAGTATGTCCCAATGCTTCACCGACAGCCGTTTACTGCAGTTAAAGAGTCGATGCTGGCTTCACACTTTTTGATTAGCATATAAGAATTAGAATGATTTACAGACTGAGAAACAATGACAGCTATTTAGCAACATTTTAATGTCTCTAAAGCGATTGAAAGCTGAAATGAAACAGGCCTCTGATAATATTTACAGCGGTACGTGATTTTTCTTTCTAAATAATTTAAGCTAAGTACCCAGAAAGAGTGAGCCAGTATCAAAAGGTGGCTTGCAATCAAGCTTGTCAGGTGATAATCTGCGTGGCTCTCCATTCTCTGCACCCGGAATGGATGCTGCTGTATTGAACGGTCAGAGGTAGAAAGCAGCTGCGTGTGCAGCCTGCATTTCTTACTGTTAAGGAAAGTGCATTGCAGGAAACAGTTCACATGTATCAGTCAGGAGAATTTCTCCTGCTGTATCAGTCTAGTGCCATTTGTCCTCAAGCAAGCATGTTATGAGCTCTTAGAGTAGTTTTCAAATCTTTGCAAAACTACCTGAAAATTTAACAAAAAGGCTAATCTTTTCTCCTAACAGATTCCTCTGAGGATTCTGTAAATAGTTCCAGTGTAGTTCCTGGAACACAGCTTTCTAAATTCCCTCTCAGTTGACTGAGTGAAAGTAATCTTAGCATGACAGAGCCAAAGGTAGGAGGCTGGCAGATTGGGAAAAGTCACCAAATGATTTGAGCCATTGAGTTCTTTTTGCTCAACTGTATGATAAATTGTGATTAGCATTAAGAGTGAAATTATCTTATTTTGAAAGCACATAGAAAATTAAGCATAAGTGAGTCTTGAAAACTCTATACTAACAGCTCTATTCTGATAGTTGGACTGTATTTAGAACCAAGAGGTAGGAAGTAAGTGGTCTAAACCCTGAAAGAACTGCTGATTAAAAGAAAAATATGAAATGCAGTGTTTGAATAAATTTATGATGGAAAAATAGGATGAAAAATAATTTCATCCAGGGTGAAAAATAAGTTTATTTGGTACAAATGGAAACTCTCCCCTTAGCCCCAAAGTTGGATATTTCTGTGGACCCATCTTTTCTTTGTTTCTTTTCTCTTTTCTTTCCTCCCTTTCTGTCCTCTTTCAGTCCTTTCTGCTTCCTGCCTTCCTTCCTCCTTCCTTTTTCCTTTCCTCATTTATGGTAAGGCGATTGAATTCTTAGTCTCTAAAATTTCTCCCCAGCCTTAGGTTTCAATCTTTTTGTAACTTCCTTCTTAAAACTTGATGTTACATTGATTTTTAAAAAACCTACATTTCTCATGTAAACAGCAAGTAGGCATTCCCAAATTTTTACCTTCTTAAATGCAGGGAAACAGAAGCATGATAATATAATCAGTGTTTGGGTTGTTTTATTTGCAGATTCAAGAATGGCTGTGTTTAAATTGCCAAACTCAGAGAGCGGTATCAGGACAGCTCGGAGACCTGGACAGGATGCCACCCACACGCTCTGGACCCAAGGCCGCCCCCGCGCCTGGCCCCACGGAGCCCCCCGCTCAGAAAGCAGCAGCAGCTGCTCAGGGAAACGCGAAAAAGAAGGAAGCAGAAGTACAACCCGAGGCTGCAAAACCCTCTCCAGAAAAAGCGAAGGAAACACCTTCAGGTGAAAAGCCTCCTAAGGTACCCTCAGATCTGAAGCAAGAGGAGAGGACACTCCAGAAAGACCAAGCTTCCTCCCTTCCGGAAAAACAGCCACCTTCCAAAGAACCACTGCTTTCAGAAGACAGAACCAAAGAAAAACAGCCCCCCCTTGAAGAAGAAAGGCCAGCGCCGGAAGACAGAAGGTTACCCCCAGCAGTAGAGGCGCTGGCCCCGGAGGAGGAAAGGACGCGGGAAGCAGCGGAGCCTCCCGCACCGCTTGTCCAGGAGAAGGCCAGAGGCAGGGCCGCTCCGGAGCCCAGGGGGCCAGGGGAGGAGCACCTGCAGCCCCCGACGGACGCTCCGCGCCCTGCTCCTCCTGGCCTGGCGCAGAGTTTGCGCGAGGAGGAGGCTCCCACAGCCCAGGGAAAGGAGCAGCCGCCGGCAGCAGGGTCCACAAAACCCGAGAAGGCAGCGCCTGGAAAGGAGAAGGCGGTAAGTGCCACGCCCCACCTTCCTGTCCGATGGGCCCGCAGTGGCCCTAGTGGTGCGCTGCCCAGGGAGTACCCAGGAGCAGCCTGCGCGTGATGAATTACGTTTTTGGGGAAGTGGACTTCCTCTTGCTAAATTCAAAGGACTTTGGCCTTTGGATAGTTCAATCACGGGTTCACATAAATATAAAACTTTTAAATCTCTTTGCGATCAAATAATGTATCAAAATGAAGCAGTAATAAGTTTCTTACAGTTTTAAGTTACTCTTTTCTCCACAATGAATTTGGAAGTCATTGTTTCCTTTTAACGTAAAGTAATGTGTCTTTCTATAAATTTTTGTTTGCTTACCGTTTTGGTTTTGTGCGAAGCAGCAGGTAATGTCCCACTGGAAAGCCGCTGTGACGTCCCGAAGCTGAAAAGTGATTGTCATCAAGGAAGTCTGACGAGGGAGGAAATTATTGTCAACTTCATAAAGGAGTCTTTCAATATTTAGTGTGATTTTAATACTGTTAGGAGTTTTGTTCAATACATTTAGTATTAAGAATTACCTATAATCCAAACATAATCTGGCAATGTAATTTTTTTATTTAGTGGAAAGTTTTTTGGGGAGGCACCAGGAACTAAACTCAGCACCTTGAGTTTGCCAGACAGGTGCTATGTTGAGCTATGTCCCCAGGGCTAGTGAATATTTTTAAAAGTATACCATTTCAACTAATACTTGTTCAAGCAATAGTATCATTGTTAGTGGAACTCTGATTTGTTAGAGCTACAATCTTGCATCATATGTAACTGGTTAATTTTAATTTACAGATCAACAATTATTTTTAGGAAAATTAAATATTTTAGTAAAACCCCAGCTGTAAACTGTATTACAAGTCTGACTCAGTTATTTGTGCTGTTTTATTTGTGTATAATTTTACACATGATTCCTAACCCATCTCTAGTAAGTGATGCATTGAACACCCACTAAATACTTGTCTTTCTTTGTTTTATCAGTGAATTCCATCAGTGTTGCCCCACCTGGAAATTTGAAATCTAAAGTACTCCAGAATCTGAAATGTTTTGAATATTAATGTGGGATAGAAGTGGGAAATTCCAACCCAGACCTTGTACGAAGAGTGTCAGTCAAAACACAAGCACATTAACCAGTGTGGAATTATTTCCAGGTTATGTGTATGAAGTGTACCTGAAACATAGATGAATTTCATGCTTAGACCAGGGTTCTGTTCTCAGATAGTTTATTATATACATGCAGGTATTCCAAAATCTAAAAAAATCTAAAATTACTACTCCTGGTACCCAGAATTTTGGATAAGGGATACTCACCACATTTTTTTTTATCAGTTGAATGTTTGCAATACTTTGCTACTATAGTACTGCAATATAAAATATTCACAAAGATTGAAAAATAGTAAAATAAACTAAAGTGACTTTTATTATGTATTTAAATGTATGTATTTAAATTTTTTTTCCTGCCATACAAATATGACTAAAGTAAAACATATATATGTTTCACAATTAGTATAATTAATAATAATATTTCAGAGAAACCATTATGCATTTAGGGGAGGGGGGCTGAGATAAGATCTCACTATGAAACCCAGGCTGGCCTTGAACTTAATATGTAGCACAGGATGGCCTCGAACCTGTGGTGATCCTCCCGCCTCAGCCTCCCAAGTGCTGGAATTACAGATGTATATCATTCTGCTTGGCTCCATTACGTATTTTAATCTTAGCTTAAAATTTAATATTGCAGCTATTTGAAATTCAGCTTCAAGGTTAAGTTGCATGAATGTTAAATTATTCTGGTATGTTGTTTAGTTTTAATGGCTATCTATAGTGAACATGGGATACTTTACCAAGTATATATGATAAATTGAAGAAATGAATCAAATGTTACACTCACCAAATCTCAATACCTGATTTCCAAGTACAGAGTTGTACCCCAGTTATGAAAAATTGTGGAAATTCCACAAATATTAATATTCACTCATTGGTTCGTTCATTTGGAAATTTTTTATGGATTACAATGTTCTAATGTTCTAGATGTTTTAAAAGCCAGCATATGTCACCTTTATGTAGTGTAATCATGTGATGATTTCAAACTGTCATAAAAGGTCTATTTTTACACTGCAATTTTCTCAAAAAGATGGATAGAGCTTGGCTAACTTGTCCCGAAATACTTCCTGGTCATATGCTGCTGATAACCAGTGTTAACTTTCTGTCAAAGTATTTAACATGTGGTACATCACTGATGACCATTTGTTATCAAAAAGTTGGACTTGAGAATTCTTCTATTTTTATTTTAAATGATTTAAATTTCATAATCTACATTTTAAATAAATTTACTATGAGTTAGTCAATAAACCTCTGTAAAATAATCTTAGTTACTTGCCATATTAGTATTCATTGTACTACTTCAGTAATATCCTGAGGCACTCCATCCAATCCTGGCCAGCTTGTAACTGATACAGAACTGAATTTCACTCATACTGCTATTTATGAACCTATATAATCTTTCCCTTTAACAAAAATAACTTCTATTAGAGAAGCTACTCTTTGTTATTTAATATGCACAGGAGGTTTTTTTCACTAAAATATGTGTACTTTGATTAAAAAATTAGTTAACATTGATTACGAGAAGTGGCCATCGCCTTAACAACTCCTGCCACCACCTTGCTTGTGTAGTTTTTATTTTTATGTACTCATACGATTTTAGTCATTTATTTGTCCCTGTGTGGTCCGTATTATTATTGTTTAAACATTTATTTGTCACTATAGCATTTTGTTTGTTCAAGTTTTCCAAAGTGTATTTGTTGAATGGAATTAGGATTAATCCTGAAATATTATAATGACGTGAGAAGTACACTTTCCTAACATTATTTTTACAAATTCTGGTGCTATGGAATTCTTTTTACTTATGTACTTAAGCAGAGTACTCTTCAAGGCTATATTTTATATATTGCACAGTAACTCTGTAGCTTTCTTGGTTTCAGAGCCTTTGATTAGACTTTTGCATGTTCTTTAAATTCTGTTTAAAATGACTTGAAATATTAATATTCAAATCACATACAACCATTGTATGAGGTGATATGTATTCAGATAGAGTGAGCCACAATCAGGTTTTCTGTAGTGACATTTAGGTGGGAATCCTTGGTCTTTCCCTTCAAGCCCTAGGAAATGTATGGACTTCATCTTTTTTGGAATGTTTCAAACACCCAGATTAGCAACTTATGCAAGCAAACTTTGTATAAATGATAAAAGATCATGAATTTTTGTATAATTTGAGTCCATCAAAAGTAAATGGCTTTGGGAAAATTAACCTAAAATGTAATATACTTGCCTTGTACCCTTTTGTATGTAACCTAGAATTTAGTTCTTAACACAGAACTCCTCAGAAAATTACTGTTTGTGTTCAGTATGGAAAGATTAAAGCTTCACTGTTTCTGGAAAGGGCACAGCCAAACTGGACGGTGCAAATATGTTTTGGCACATTTGCCATCACAAGGGACATCTCAGAGGTATTCCACCACTGGGAGTTTCCTATGGGGCTGAACTCATCACTGCCCTCTGTAGCTTAACCAATGGGTGTGGTTGTTGGAAGGAAAAGGAATTCTTCACTCTCTGCTTTTAGTTAGTAATTTGAAAAATGAATCTTAGCCACTGGAAATATTGTGTAATTGTTTTATATGCATAGATCAGACTCGACTCAAGTTGCTTTAATTCCATACATGGGTAAAATGCCATATATAATAAAATGAAAGTCAGTCTAGTATAGTCTGTTCTTCAGTGTTATTTTAAAAATTAGCGAGACTGACTGCACACACCTGAAATTCCAGCACTCTGGGAGGCCAAGGGAGTAGGATCACAAGTTCAAGGCCAACTTGGCAACTTTACAAGACCCTGTCTCAAAATTTTAAGAATATTGGTTGGGAATATAGCTCAGTCCAAAGGCACTGGATTCTGTCTTTAGTGCTGCTTAAAAAATAAAAAATGAAAAATTTCCTTAGAGAAAATTAGAAGAAAGCCATTTAAAATCATATGGTTAATTTATAACTGTTCATGCTCACTGCCTTCATTGAATGCTGAAAATAAAATTCCCATGCAAATATAACATAGTTGATATTTTATATATTTAGAGGCTACTCTAAATTGTATTACATGTAAAAAAAAGTTTAATAATACAAATGCCAATTTCCCGATTGTTCATATGAGAAAATAAAATTTAAAACTCAGTAATATTTATATCCACATATAAGCATATAATTTAGAAAGAACCATTTTGTCAATTTATATCATTAAATGCTATGTTACTGAATAACAGTATTCTTCCTAAGAGAAGCACACACTCTTAAATTTTTTGAAGCAACTAAGAGAAACATCCCAATCTTGTAGCCATGTGGATTGTGAAATGTTGGTGGAAATGAGCTGAATTAGGCTACCCTCATATGTTGACCAGAGACCTCTAGATTTAGGGTAATTCAGGTATCCATCAAAGGTGAATAATGAGAAAACAGGATCCCAGTTCCATACTGTTTTACATTCTTCTATGTCTCATCTAGTGCTTCTGTCTCTTCTAACAGATGTTACTAAGGAAGCAGCGTCCAGCGGTATACACCAGTTAAGCGGCATTGTACAAACGGCACACCTGTTGTAATGCCAATGTCTCACAGAAGCAGGGGATAATATGGAAACGGTTAACAGAAGGCCAGAGTTGACAAGTGCTTCAGTGTGCCAGTCTCTGTCTGTAACAAAGAAGAGACTTTCAAATGTCAGTAACATCTCTGAGGCTAAATGTGTAGGTCCCTGGAGGAAAAGGACCTGGGCAGTGTGAGATCTGATGGTTCACGCAGCGTAATGAGGGTGGATACTGAACATGTTAGGGACTTCACACCTAAAGCTAGTCATATAGGAAAGACTGACAGTGGGGAGCAGCTGAGGCTGGAGATGCATCACAGCTGTGGGGCTGGAGCGCCCAAGGCGAGTCAGGTGAACAGGTTGTTCCAGCCTCAAGAACACAAGCAACGAGGTCAGCCAGAGGAGCAAGTTGTTAAGCAGAGGGGTTTCATCTGACATCAGCCTGCAGCATGTGTAAGTGAGATGCACAGCAGTCTTGGGTGCTTGCTTTTCTCCATCAGGAGCGAAGGCTCCACCTGCCCTCAGCTTTCTGCATTTTCTCTCTTGCCTTTGTTTCTTCACAATCCTCCCCACAGAGTTTCTCAAGAGCTGCACTGGATGCAGCAACTGACATCAGTAATTCTTTTCAACATAGCATGATAAATAAGGACCAGAAGCTGTTCCTTCTGAATGTATCAGCCAAGTGCCTTTTGGTCAGCTAGCTTGGTTTCCTGGGCAGCCATTCTCCATTTGCTCTTAGGCCGCACAAGTGTAGAGGCTCACACTTACACTGTGGGAAAGGGAGGGTCATCTCGGGAGCAGAGGCCTCACAGCAGCAGTACCAAAGGCAAGTGGGCATCACACTGTGCAGAGCGTGGCAGAGGGTGACCAGGGCCAGGAGGGGCTGGTAGACCAAGTCCTGAGAGGGAAGGAAAGCGTGGGTCCAGAGAGCAGCTGTGGAGGGAGTCACAGGGTGGAAAGTTTGGTCTTTAGGTGTTATTCTCTGTTTCTTCATTTCCTTGGAACATGATGTACGTCTAATCCAATTCTCATTTCTGTAAAATGTCAGTGGAGCCTTTGGGTTCCACTGTATTAAAGTAATTTGTCTTTTATTATACTGAATTGTTACAAATACCAGTCATAGTGCCTTCAGACGTGTGCAGCTTTGTCACATCAGGATGTGGATGGGTACAAGGCACACACTGTGATATTCCAGTTTAAATCATGAAAGACAGTTTTTCCTGGCCTGTTTTTCTCATAGATCTTAGACTCCCCACACTTCTGGTGATGCTGTTTACTGAGAGTCCATAAAGGTTGGATGTCCTAACTGCCTGTACTGGGTACAGAAGGAACAAATGTGCTCTCAGTTGTGTGAAACGCAATCCCCAAGGAACAGCTTCCCACCGAGATATCCTGGGGATTTTCCCAGGAGCATAGCTGCTAGGAAAGGGAACCAAAAGTGAGGTGGAGGCTCAGATCCTAGTCTCACCACCAGACCAGTAATATTTTCTAGAAAAACACCTGGAGTGAGCCAGGCTAGATCCTTATGATCAAAATGATTAGGTATTGCTTTGCGCATTAAAGTTGCTAGGACTCTATCAGACTGTCCTTTTGAATCGAGGCATGTTAACTCAGTCAAAACATCTTACCCTGTACTGCATTCAGGATGTATCTTTAGCTGTATGCAGTAAAGTAATATACTGAGATAAAAATGAATCTAGAGTGAGAATTAAGTCAGCAACATTTATATTTGAGAACTCTGTGGCCAGAAGAAACAGAAAGAAAGCAAGGAGGGAAGAACTGTGTTTTGTGTGTTTTTCATTACTTGGGTAACCTGAGGCATTCACTTGGGTGATAAATGGAAGAGCTTGTGTGCACACCCATGGAAACTATCAAGATAGTCCCAGCTGCAGGCCCAGGGGAATTGCGGCAGCCTCCTAGGCCAAGAGCAGACCCCTGCACTGGAGGCTGCTTTGCCTCCAACCCTTCTTCCCACAGGGCTCAGGCTACTGGTGCACTCTCCTGTGTGCCTGGTAGCTGAGCGGTCAGTGGTGTCTGTTGTATTTGTCATAGGAGAGTCTCTGGCTATCACTGTCACAAAACACCTTTCTGGTTCTTGAGCTAAATGGAGACATCGCCACACAAGGAGAGCACCCAGCATCAGCAAGCGTCCTGTCTCCAGGGAAGCGAGTGGCCCACGCACAGCAGCCACTTCCTGGCTGAAGGACCTGCCTTCAGCATGAAACACCAAGCAGCTTCAACATAGGTGACCTGAGCAGCTCGTGGGAAACAGTGCTGATGCAGGCAACTGCGTAGGGTCTGCAACTGTAGAAAAAAAACATGAGCATTTCTGAGTTAGAACAATTACTGTGTAGTTTTAAAGAGTTTATAATTTATAAACATTCATTCCAAGTGACAGCCATAACAGTAAGAGCAATACCAAGTATATACCATGTTTTACAGCATTCAAAGTGTCTTTTAAAGGCAGTGCTGTGTTTGACCAAGAAAGCAAAAATGTGAGCACACAAGACATGTGTTAACAGTGTTAACAGTGCTGCCTGCTTTGTTAGGTACATTTCCCACCAGCCAGGCAAGCACCAGGCCCATCCTCTGGTTGTTTCTCACTTTTGCCTGACCTAATAATCCAGAGAGATTATGCTAATAGAAAATTACCATGAGAGTTTTTCTATCCCAATGTTAGCTTATTCCATAGCAGAGGGCACTGAGAAACATGACACTTTGGAAGGAAAGTTCGGTGCACAGGATAGAGCGCTGATGGAAGAAACCAAGAGATCATGCAGAAGTGACATGACAGGTAACTAGGCTGAATGAGCATTAACTTCACCAGGGTACACCAACTCTTCTCCTGTTTTGCTCTCGCTAGAACTTTAAGCCCTGGCCTGTGGTTGAGAAGGTGCCCCATTCCTCGTGGTTGTGGGGGCGAGGGGGAAGGTGAGTGTTCCAGTGCCACTGTCTTAAGTGTCCCTGTGTCTTTCCTTCCTGCTAGGACAAGGAAGAGGACAAGTCGGATGCCTCAAGTTCTCAGCAACCTAAAAGCCCACAAGGCCTGAGTGACACAGGATATTCTTCAGATGGAATATCAGGGTCTCTTGGTGAAATTCCAAGTCTGATTCCCAGCGATGAGAAGGACTTGCTCAAGGAACTCAAAAAGGACTCCTTTTCTAGAGAAAGCAGCCCGCCCAGCCCCTCGGACCTGGCCAAGCTGGAAAGCACGGTCCTCTCCATTCTGGAAGCCCAGGCATCTGCTCTGGTGGATGAAAAATCAGACAGAAAGACGCAACCTCAGGAGGACTCTCCTGGGCAGCCCAGGGACCCTCAGCTACTCCCCAGAACCCTGGAGAGGACAGCTGCTGAGGAGGAGGAGCTCAGGGGTAGCCTGGAAGAAAAGAGAGAGGCTTCTAAGAAAGGGACCCAGCAGGGCATGCCCAGCGGCCAGGGTCCCCCGGAGCGGGCAATGCTGGTGGGGGCCAGCCGCTCCTCACTGGAGGACAGCAGCGAGAGCGAGACCTCGCCGGTGCCACCCAGGAAGCGCAGGGCCAGTGTGGGCTCCTCGAGCAGCGAGGAGGACAAGCAAGAGGACAGCGCGGGCTCGGAGGACGAGGAGGAGGACTTCATCCGCAAGCAGATCCTGGGTATGAGCGCTGACGAGGACGCCTCAGGCTCGGACGATGACAAGGGGCTGCGGCGCCGGCCGCCCGAGCCAGGAACCCTCGAGGGCACACGGGGCAGGGAGGACACGCGGGGCAGAGCCAGGGCCATGGCCGGACGCCACCGGCGCACCCCGCGTAGGGTTGGCGTAGGCCTGGACGAGGAGGTGGGCCGCCGACACTCGTGGCACGACGAGGAGGACGAGGCTTTCGACGACAGCCCCGAGGGTAAGGCCAGGGAGACCAAGAGCCAGGAGGGCGAGGAGCCAGCGCCCGCGGGCGGGGGCCTGCGGCGCTTCAAGACCATCGAGCTGAGCACAGCAGAGCAGCGGCGCGCTGCGCTCTTCCCAGATGAGGAGCCCGAGCTGGAGATGGAGAGCCTGACCGACTCGCCCGAGGACCGCTCCCGAGGCGAGGGCTCCTCCAGCCTGCACGCCTCCAGCTTCACGCCTGGCACCTCGCCCACATCCGTGTCATCGCTGGACGAGGACAGCGACAGCAGCCCGAGCCACCAGCGGGGCGAGGGCAGGCAGCCGCGCAAGGCTCGGCATCGCGGCCACGGGCCAGCGCTGCCCACCATCGAGGACTCCTCGGAGGAGGAGGAGCTGCGCGAGGAGGAGCAGCTGCTCAGGGAGCAGGAGCGGCAGCGCGAGGCAGAACAGCAGCAGCAGCGCAAGAGCTCCGGCAAGAAATCCAAGAAGGACAAGGAGGAGCTGCGCGCACAGCGCAGGCGCGAGCGGCCCAAGACGCCGCCCAGCACGCTGTCGCCCATCGAGGACGCATCTCCCACCGAGGAGCTGCGCCAGGCGGCCGAGATGGAGGAGCTGCAGCGCTCGTCCTGCTCCGAGTACTCGCCCAGCCTCGAGTCCGACCCTGAGGGCTTCGAGATCAGCCCCGAGAAGATCATCGAGGTCCAGAAGGTGTACAAGCTGCCCACCGCCGTGTCTCTGTACTCGCCCACCGCCGAGCAGGCAGCCCTACAGGAAGGGGCCCCGCAGACGCTGAAAAGCGCCAAGGAGATGTATGAGGAGATGTTGCACAAGTCTCCCAAGTACAAGGCGTTCCCGGGGGCCGGAGAGCGGGACGAGGCGTTTGAGAAGGAGCCGCTGTACGGGGGCATGCTCATCGAGGACTACATTTACGAGTCTCTCGTGGAGGACCCATACGAGGGAGCCGGAGACTCCAGCCTGCTGGCCCGGCCTGAAGAAGACAACGGGTTTGTGCAGCAGAGGGGGCGGGAACCGAGGATGAGACTTCCGGAGCACGTCTATGGGGACCCCATGCAGAAGATCACGGACTTCCAGAAGGAGCTTTTCCAGCTGGAGAGCTTGCGTTCCGTGGTACCACGGGAAGACATCGTTTCGAGCTCCTACATCATTCCTGAGAGCCACGAGATAGTGGATCTCGATACCCTGGTGACTTCTGCCGGCGAAGAGAAACCATTACTGGATGCGGATGCTACCTACGAGGAGCTGATGAGGCGGCGGCAGCTGCAGCTGAGCCCGAGCGGCAGCCCTGCGCCGCCGCCCGCAGAGGACGAGCTGACCGCGGCCGCCGTGGATCTGGACAGGGCGCCGGACGCCTCGCTGACCTCCAGCGTCCTCTCGGGCGCGTCACTGACAGATTCCACCAGCAGTGCCACCCTGTCCATCCCCGATGTGAGAATAACCCAGCACTTCTCAGCAGAAGAAATCGAGGATGAGTACCTGACGGACTACACGAGGGAGATCCAGGAGATAATCGCCCACGAGTCGCTGATCCTGACCTACTCAGAGCCTTCAGAAAGTGCGACCTCCCTGCCGCCCTCCGACACGCCCTCGCTCACGTCCTCGCTGTCCTCGGTGTGCACCACGGACAGCTCCTCCCCAGTCACCGCCCTGGACGGGGTCGCCTCGGCCTACACAGAGCCAACGGGCTTGACAGCGAAGTTCCAGGATTCTGCGGAGGTTTCTTCATCTACCTATTTTCCCGTGAGCATCATCGACTATCCGGAGGAAATCAGCAGACCCGCAGGGCAGACGGGCACGCCAGAAAGCCAAACCAGCACGGATCACGTGGTGATCTCCTTAACCGAGGCGCCACCTCCCATCCCGGAGTGGCCTGCAGCAGCAGCTGAGGGGCCACGGGCTGACTTGACCCTGTCTGAGAAAGAGCCAGTGAAAACAGCCAAGAAAGAAGCCACCAATGGGGTCATTCTGGAGGTTTTGGAAGCTTACAAAGATAAAAGGAAGGAGTCCAAGGTTGAACCAAGGAAAATAAGCGTCTTGGAAGCTGTGTCTGACCAGCCTGCGGCCCCTCTGAGGAAGGAGGAGCCTGCACCACCGTACTTTACGTCCAGGGAGGGCTCAGGGCGAGAAGGCCAGTTACCATCTGGCGGCCCTTCCGTGTCTTCTCTGCCCACCAAGTCTCGGCCCTTGCTCCGAAGTTCGTCTCTGGACGTCTCAGCCCAGCCTCCTCCTCCTCCCCCTCCTCCACCGCCACCTCCTCCTCCTCCTCCCCCTCCTCCTCCTCCCCCTCCTCCACCACTACCCCCACCCACATCACCTAAACCAGCTGTTCACCCTAAAAAAAAGGCCCCGGTTGCTGCTTCCCTGACTCCAGTTACCACAGCAGTGCCTCTGGCAGATGCTGTTACGCCTGCAGAGGCCGAAGCTGTGTCCAGGAGTATTTGGTCACCGGTAACAAAAGTGTGCACCCCTGCACCCCCTCCTGTCCCTCCTAAGCCTGCCTCCATCCCATCGGGACTCGTTTTCACACACAGGCCTGAGCCCAGCAAACCACCCATTGCCCCCAAACCAGCAGTTCCTCAGCTCCCAGGAGCTGTGCAGAAGCCCATGGATGCACAGCCCAAACCGACAGGTCCGTTGTTAGCTTCAGGCATGACCTTGAGTCTAGAGACCTCCACAGATTATACCTTGCCTTCCCCCACATCCCCACTTTCCCCACACTCTAACAAGTCCTCACCGAGGTATTCTAAGTCCCTCATGGAAACTTACGTGGTTATCACACTGCCATCAGAACCCGGGACGCCCACTGACTCCTCAGCTAGTCAGGCAATTACCAGTTGGCCCCTGGGATCCCCCACAAAGGAGCTGGTTTCCACTGAACCAGTGTTTTCTGTAGTTCCTCCTTTGAGCTCTGCAGAAATCCCAGGTTCTTCTCAGCCAGCCCTGTACCTCTCAGGAGCTTTGGAGACATTCTCAGCTGCCCCTGTGGTGATGTCATCTTCATATCAAGGAGCCACGGTTTCAGGTCCACAGTTTCTTCCAAGCGAGATCTATAAGGCGGAGGTTCCAGCTGCCAGACATACCATCGCCAGTGTCGGTTCAGGCAGTGTTTCCATATCAGTTCCTCCAGAACCTCTTGCTTTAGATGACCTGCACTTAGAGAAACACAAGGAAAATGGAAAATTGCATCTTGTTGGTGATGCCATTGACTTACGTACAGTACCCAAACTAGATGTGAAAGCAACTGAAAAATGTATGGATCTTTCTGCATCTGCGGTGGATGTAAAAAGACAGGCCATAGCAAGTGACATTAATGGGAGACAAATGAGTGCTGTCCAGCCTTCTGTCATCAATCTCAGTGCAGCAGCATCAGGGGCGACTCCAGTCTCCCTGGACGTTGAGATGGCGATGGCTGTCACATCCACAACTACTACCAGTTACACTCTAGGCACAGAAAGCCTGGTGGGCATAGAACATGTGATCCCAACCCCACTGCAGCTTACTACATCAAAGCATGCTGAGCCCCCATACAGAATGCCCAGCAGCCAGGTCTTCCCAGCACCTAGGGAAGAAGCACCAATCAATCTGTCTCTAGGTCCTTCGGCACACACAGTAACGTTGGCTGCTACAAAACCTGTCACCGTGCCTCCTGTCGGAGTCACAAACGGATGGACTGACAGCATGACCTCCCAGGCAATCCCGGATGGGGAAGTAGTGGATCTCAGCACATCCAAGTCCCATAGAACTGTCGTAACCATGGATGATTCTACTTCAGGCGTGGTGACCAAAATAATAGAAGACGATGAGAAGCCTGTTGATTTGACTGCAGGAAGAAGGACCGTGTGCTGCGACATGGTCTATAAGTTACCTTTCGGAAGGAGCTGCACAGGCCAGCAGCCTGCAGTCCCACTGCCCGAGGATCGCTTTGGCTACAGGGATGACCACTATCAGTATGACAGGTCCGGGCCATGCGGTTATAGAGGGGTTGGTGGAATGAAGGCCTCCATGTCTGACACTAATCTAGCAGACGCTGGACACTTTTTCTATAAAAGTAAGAATGCATTTGATTATTCTAGAGGTGCTGATGCAGCAGTAGATCTAACTTCAGGGAGAATTTCTACAGGTCAGTATGACGTGGCCACAGACCTGTCCTTGAAATATCATGGTGTCCCTCATCTCATTTCAGGATGAAAATGTGGTCCCCATCCCGGTTTTGTTACGTTTTCTCTTTCTTTGGAGGTTCTGGCAACATAATTTGGAGTACATGTGCGCTTCTGTTTCTTCATTTATTTTTTATTTGTCCCAATCAGAGCCGCCTGCATGTGCCTGCATGTTCAACATTGCTTTTGTTCCGCATCTGATTAGGTTACCCCGTGGACTTGCATGCAGTCCCATGCGTTGTGTTCGTCAAGATGAGAGGGCTCACGAACCCCAAACCCATCATTCATGTGAGAACTGGACTATAACTGTACCCTGTGTTTCAGGTGAGGTAATGGATTATTCAAGCAAGACTACAGGTCCGTATCCAGAAACACGACAAGTCATTTCAGGAGTCGGGATTAGCACCCCGCAGTATTCCACAGCAAGAATGACTCCACCTCCAGGACCCCAATATGGTGTGGGCAGTGTTTTGAGGTCGTCTAACGGTGTTGTGTATTCTTCAGTAGCAACTCCGATCCCCTCTACCTTTGCCATCACCACACAGCCGGGCTCCATTTTCAGTACCACTGTGAGGGATTTGTCTGGCATTCATTCAGCCGACTCTGTGACTTCATTGTCTGCCCTGCACCAGAGCCAGCCGCTGCCGAGATCCTATTTCATAACCACGGGTGCATCTGAAACAGACATTGCAGTAACTGGTGTTGACATTAATGCTAGTTTGCAAACGATTACTGTGGAAACTCTGACTGCAGAGGCAATCAACTCTGTGCCCACTTTGACCACAGCATCTGAAGTGTTTTCTCAGGTCATGGGAGATGAAGGCACTCTTTTAATTGTCCCGGAAGAAGACAAGCAACAGCAGCAACTTGACTTGGAGCGTGAGCTTTTGGAACTGGAGAAAATCAAGCAACAGCGCTTCGCGGAGGAACTGGAGTGGGAACGTCAGGAAATCCAAAGGTTCCGAGAACAGGAAAAGATCATGGTTCAAAAGAAGCTGGAGGAGCTGCAATCTATGAAGCAGCATCTGCTCTATCAGCAGGAAGAAGAGCGGCAGGCCCAGCTAATGATGAGGCAGGAGACCCTGGCTCAGCAGCAGCTGCAGCTGGAGCAAATTCAGCAGCTGCAGCAGCAGCTGCACCAGCAGCTGGAGGAGCAGAAGATCCGCCAGATCTACCAGTATAACTATGACCCATCTGGCACGGGTTCTCCCCAGGCACCCACAGAGCAGGCCATCCTTGAAGGTCAGTATGTAGCCCCTGAAGGCTCTCAGTTCTGGGCCCCAGAGGATGTGACCACCACAGCCTCCGCAGTGGTAGCCATCGAGATCCCCCAGAGCCAGGGCTGGTACACAGTGCAATCTGACGGGGTTACCCAGTACATCGCCCCGCCTGGCATCCTGAGTACTGTTTCTGAGATTCCTCTGACTGACGTTGTCGTCAAAGAGGAAAAGCAGCTAAAAAAGAGAAGCTCTGGAGCCAAAGTCCGGGGCCAGTATGATGAGCTAGGCGAAGGTGCGGCAGACGATCCCAGAGGTTTTAAAAAGATCATGGACAGCGGTGTCCAGACAGACGATGAGGATGCTGCTGATCGGAGTTACACCAGCAGGAGGAGAAGGACCAAGAAGAGTGTGGACACCAGTGTCCAAACTGATGACGAGGACCAGGATGAGTGGGACGTGCCCACACGGGCGCGGAGGAAAGCCCGCGTGGGGAAGTACAGTGATGGTGGCGCTGAGGCAGACAAGGGCAAAGCCCCTTCCAAAGTCGCCAGCATTGCGGTCCAGACCGTGGCCGAGATCTCTGTGCAGACAGAGCCCGTGGGAACCATACGGACACCTTCCATACGAGCCCGAGTGGATGCCAAGGTAGAAATTATTAAACACATTTCAGCACCTGAAAAGACTTACAAAGGGGGCAGTTTAGGATGTCAAACAGAAGCAGATTCAGACACACAAAGCCCTCAGTATTTGAGTGCCACTTCTCCTCCCAAAGACAAGAAGCGCCCAACACCTTTAGAGATCGGTTACTCATGTCACCTCCGGGCAGACTCCACCCTGCAGCTGGCTCCTTCCCCTCCCAAATCTCCAAAAGTCCTTTACTCACCCATCTCACCACTCTCATCAGGCAAAGCCTTAGAATCAGCCTTTGTACCTTATGAAAAGCCCCTCCCTGATGATATCAGTCCACAGAAAGTACTGCATCCCGACATGGCCAAAGCTCCCCCAGCAAGTCCTAAGACAGCCAAGATGATGCAGCGGTCTCTGTCTGACCCCAAGCCTCTGAGCCCAACTGCAGACGAGAGTTCCAGGGCTCCTTTTCAGTATACCGAGGGCTTCACGGTAAGAGTGATTCTGCTCAATTAGAAGACAATGTGTGCGTTGATGCTGTCTAGTCATGTGTTTGCAGACCTTAGAAAGCAACCAAACAAATCTAACAAAAACCTCCAGGGAGAACTGTTACTTTACAGATCTGGGGAGAAAACAGAAAAGCATGCTATCATTTAACACTAAAGGAGCAAAACAGATGAGGCAGAATGGGAAAGAATTTCATTTTTTATAACTTGATGAAATTATGTTCTGTTCTGATATCGAAATCTCCCAAATATCCATTGTAGCCTATTTTCAGGGATATAATTGAAGTGTTTCCCCAAGTGTGATGGAATTCACATTAGTGTAAGCAGATAGGGCCATGGATGACCATACATTTGGATCGCAGGAGCTGCAGTCCACTAGTGGAGTCTGTGGTAGGCATCCAGTCTGGGTGGGGTACTATCAGCAGCATTTGCAGAAATAGTTTAGGTCAGTTACTGATTGGAAGAAATGGTTCATAGCAGACGAAACTGTAAGTCACCATCATTGTTCAGCCATGCTTACTTGGTTCCCTGAAGACTGGTTACTCTAACTTCAGGGGAGCCTTAATCAGAGCAATTGTAGGCACAAAAAATAATTTTTATGTTAAGTAATAAAGCTTAATTATTTTCTAAAATCATGCTTTAATAGAAACAACATTCATAAATATGTTAACTGTATTTATGAAGATTACTATAACTGGGAATAAAAAATCACCCTTAAAAAGTATGTTATAAAGAAAATCTAAAATATAGTTGTTAAGAACATTGTTGACAGGTACAATAGTTAAATTTAGAATAAACCTTCTATTCAAATGAAGAAAAGACCATAATGCACTATTTTCTAAAAGCTAAAGCTTCTTGGTAAATACTTCTGCTATATTTTCACTGACCCGTATGTGCTTAACATTGCCTGTGAGCTGAAAACTATGGCATTATCTATAACTGTAAGTTTATTTGTAGGTTTATAGACACATCAATAGTCATACTAATCAATACATTAATTCATTAGTTTTATAATGGAATTTTGTTATTATCTTCTTTCTTAAATTATGTATCTTAGAATTAAAACTGTCTTCCTGTGGAGAAATGAGTTCAGGGAACCACTAGTGAACTGAGATTTCATTGGGTTCACAGGGAGTTACTTTATGCATAGCGTTGTTTCTGAAGTTAAATCTTCTATGAAAAGTAATTGCTAAATCAGTTATAAAGAATAGATACTTATTTTTGTACCTCTGGCCTATAAATTCACTTAAAGAATTATATAGATAAAATATGTTTTGAACAATATGTGAAGAGCAGTTTTCAAGCTTCTGACATTAGAAAGAATAGGCGTTTCTAGTTGGTGTATTAATGACTTACTTAATATCCATTTGCTCTTAATCAAATAAACTTGGTTAAGGAAGACACTCAAGTTATCAATATGTTTCCCTTCATTATTCACTTTGGATTTGGAAATATGCAAAGAAAGAAAATGGGTGGTCGTGAGTATATTCCTGATTGCACAAACATTATCAATCATCTAATTGTTACGTAAACTGAGCAGAACTAATGAAAGTTACAGAGTCCTGGGTGCATGGAGCTTGTGTGCACAACACAGGAGTTTTCCAGCTAACCATAGTCAGAGAATGCTAATATACAAGCTCATTTACTGTGTTACAGTATGCACAAAGTAGACCATTTTATACACAAGGACAGTTTCCTATCACTTTAGGTACTTTAAAATGTAAATTTTATAATTAGTTCCTATACAAGTATCTACACAGACATTGAGTCTACTTTATAATAATTTCTTAGTTATAAATATGATTAAGCATTAAACTGAGAATAATTCCCTAAATGATAGTCATTGTGCTGTAAATTGAATTTAAGATGTCTAGCCGAGTACTGTAGTTTACTGACTGTTAATTTGCATGGACCAATGAAGTTGGAAAAAATGTCCCCACTCAGTAGGCCCCAAGGCTGAGCAGAAAGGTGCATTATGCTTCGTGCATGGTAGGGTTACCAGTGATGGTGAACCTTTCAGAGCTTTCAGTAATAGGCAGCCAGCAGCAGTACATGTGCCATAGGTTCACCACCACTGCGAATCAGAACCTACTTTTCAAAACCTGCCAGGAAATGCTCCCCAGGGGAGATGGTGTGATGTGAAGGCTGAGCTCTCTGTCAGACCAGGAAGAGAAAAATAAAGGTGAATTTAAACAGAGGAGGCCAGAACACCAAGGTTCACACTGATGCACAGACAGCAAGGAGGAGAGCGAAGGTCCCAGGATGAAATAGAACCGGAGAGAGGACCACTGGCAGGGATGGAATCCGCCAAACTAGACGGTTGGATTGAGTGGTCTCCGGCACCAAAGTCCAAACAGGAGCCACCGTCGCTGTTTTCCACCACTCCCTGGCCCCAACTTCTTCCACACTGACCTTCCCTGTGGTCAGTTTTCTTGTGGTGTGGCAGGAGTGACCTTCTGGACAGACCTCAGACTGCCTTACAGGCCACACCTGGAGAGTGTCCTGCAGCCAGGATGCTGGAAATGTTTCCCAGGAAGGCAGGAAGAAGGGGCAGGGGGCAATGGGAGACAAGGCAGGAGAAAGTCAAATGCTGTTGCGTGGAAACAGAGAGAAGCTAATCTGTTCCAGGTTCATCTCTCAAAGTACAGCAATTATCACAATACCAATATCAAGAAATGTTTCAGTAGCTCATGTTTTTTGGTGGTGATTCCCACTATTTTTTGTGCTAGAAACACTACATATAAAATGTTCTCACCTCTTTTGGGCATAGAAATGCATGAAATATCAAGTGTTAAAGCTATTTGGTGTTATTTTCATACCTTTTTAACAATTTGAGAGCTTTTTTTAACTATTAAGCAGACTCAATATTAAAATATTTTTCTTCTGTAGTTTAAGCCAGGATCCTGTTGAAAAGCAGATGGTATTCTTTAGCTGATTGTTACAAGAATGTGTTTTGCTTCACTGATAGCTGTTTTGATAGCTGTTTTTAAATTCTTTTGGAACCCTCCAGTGTCTGTTCTGAGAGTAATTTCCATAGCCTAAATTAAGAAATTTTATATTTGTCAAATTGTCTTTTTATATTCTTCCAAAATACAAAGATTTAAGGAATAAAACTTATGATGCTTAAATTGGTTTTGAAAAATAATATTTAGTAGGAGTTGTTTTTCATTATCCTTTTTAAAATCAACATAAGACATCAGTCTATTAAAATTTTGATTAGTCTATTTTATAAAGTAGTTTTAAAATATGTCATAAAATTTTTCATGTATTAAATTTCCTTATTAAAATTTTGTACCATATAGTCCAACTATTGTAAAATTAAAATAGAATATATTTTATAGTGTAAAATGGTACATATTTGAAAGTGTTTTTCAATATACTGATAAAATATTTAGACAATAATTAAGAATATATTAATAATGACAAATAAATGCATATATATGAACTGTCAGTGAGTGAAAAAGACAATTTTCAAGTTAATCTCCACTCGCTGTTCAATAGTTAATATATACTGCTTTATTATAGTCAATTATTAGAATGAATTTTAAATCTTTGTATACTGAAGAAAAGATCATTTTTGCTATTCTTTTCAGACCTCCATATTTCAAAATTAGTAAATGATTCTAAGAAACACGTCTGTGTTCCTATTGTTCCACAAAAGAAAGGTCATCATGAAGCCTCTGGTGTGCCGTTTAACAAGAAGAAGTTCTGGTTTGCCTGGCATTGATTATTGCTGGCATAATTTATTAAAATATGACATTCTTTAACATTAATTATCTTCCTATTTTATCATATTGATTTTTTTACTAGTTCACTACATTTTCTACTTTTGAATAGTAGTAAAATTTATTGTTGGCTCTAAAATAAAGCTATATATATATAATCTCTCTATTACATCTCCTCGAAACACACACCCACATACACACCAATGTACATACTGTGATATATTTTTATATTTCTACAACTTACTAATCACTTAGTATTTAGTAATGTGCTATATTAGCTATTACTGAAGGAAAACTGAATAAACAACTAATTATAGCATAAAAATCAGGAAAAGTTTGGGGCATATTTTGAGATGTAATTTATATAATGGCATCATAATATATTCCAATAACAGACATTCTCTTATGCTATTCAACATCACGTATGTATTTATTTTAGGCATAACCCATAAATATACTACACATATAGTGCATAAAATACTTAAAGAGTTTTACAATCTTTTATAACTAATCACATGTTTCAGGCAGGAGGTGGTGGGACCAGTCTGTAATGGTAGCACTTTGGGAGACTGAGGCAGAAGGGTCACAAGTTCCAACTCAGCCTGTGCAACTTAGCACCTTAGTGATCTCTTGTCTCAAAATAAAAAACAATGTCAAATACTGGAGATGTACCTCAGTGCAGAGACTCGAGTCCAATGGCCAGTAGTCAAAAACAAAACAAAACAACAAACAAAACATTTAACCTGCTGCTACTTGGGAGGTACAAATCTCCAGTTTCTGCCATTTCCTTTCCTCTGTATTTTAAAGATGAGAATTTTGAAATCCAGGCCAGTGTCCTCCACACCTTGCACCTGGTCTGTCAACTCCCTTTACATTAAGTAAGCCAGCTAGTTTCATAAACTTTTGTTTGGAACTACTCTGTATATTGAATTATGTATAGAGTTTTAATCAGGAGAGCGCTAGGTAAGGGAACTTGGAGTAAGTAAACCAAGTCTTAAATGGATTAGCTAAGTACGCCAAGTACTGAGTAGTTTAGCCTGAAATGATTAACAGTAAAAATCTATTTTAATTTCACCTTAAGAATGAATTCAAAGGATTAAAATTAAAAGATAAAAAACTTAATTATTGAAAATAATATAAGAAATTATTAAACTAGATTATAGAACTCCTATTTCAGTATTTTTGGCTGACAAAACAGAGAATGCTTCTAATTATATGAGAAGGCAGCTTAACACTGAGCACTGTGAAACACAGAACTGAG